TCGAAAGTTAAAAAAATTTCACAATTTTCTACATTTTTGAAGTTTATATTTTGAATATCTCAAAAAAAGCAAAAAGATAGGTTTTTGGCAATATTTTTTATACACAACCTCTAACAAATCTGTTATTTTGTTTTTATTAAGTTAGAATAAAACATAAAAGACCCATCAGATACAATCTAAAATATTACAATATGAAAACAATTAGTTAACATACACACATACATGAATAAAATTGTTTACGATGACACTTACTTAATCTTAAATTATCCTAAGATTTTCCAGAATCTATTTTTCGTAAAAAATATGACTTTTAGGACTTTGGAAAAAAATCATGAATGCAAACTCTAAATTTAAAATAAATAAGCATTGTTAATCATAACTTAGTTTACAATTTTTTTTTTTAAGTTAAAAATTTCATATCTTAAAAGAGCTTTTCAAATTTCAGGATCTTTTAAATCTAAAAATTTTTATTTTTGCGATTTTTTAAATTTCAAAATTATAAAAACTTGTATTTTACGTGTTATTTCTTTAGGGCCTTAAACGAGACCAAAAACATTTTCGTTTTTATAATAATTTTTGAGATATTCGTATATGTAATAAATTTCTAACATACCGGAAATTGTGAAATCTGTGAAAAAAGTTTAAATGTTTTCCATTGGAAGAACTTCGTAGTGTGATAAAAGACACGGTCTGACCAAAATACAATCAAATATTCAAATAGTCGATTCCATTTATTGGTCGATTTGTCATGGATTGACCCATATCTAAAATCAAAAATTGGAAAATACTCATAAAATAAAAAAAACAATAAATCAAATAACGCAACGAAGCATGTCAATGAAGAAAGAAAAATAAAGCATACAAAATAACTCCAACAACTAATACTAAGATTATATATTTGGCGTCGCATTGATACAATCTCTAAGCAATCACAAATACTAAAATAATAAAATGGAAGTAATTGTAACAATAACCATTTACCATGATTCTTAATTGGAAAGCAACATAAAGTTAAAAAAAAAGTCAAATAAAGGAATAAGCTAAACCCGAAAGTGTAGAAAGTGCACTAGATATCCATAATTTTCTAATCGAAATGAAGCTTTAAACACTAGCATTAAAAAAAAAGATAATAAGTTACAGATGTGGACCACATAGTCACAATATTTGAGATGATTCGTCGAAGATTGAAAATTCAAATAAAAAAATCTCCTACGAAAGAGCAATGAGAAAGTAATTTCGGTGTGATAGCATGAAAGAAAAATTACACTGTACAACACAAAAAAAATACAAGATTCCGGTAGAGGGGAATGCCTGAAATTACTTTCTCTACCGCCGAATACATCTGTATAAAATAATACCAAATTATCCAATAATTAAGTAACTATAATCCTTTAAAAAGCAGCAAAAAATAAATTGGTTTATTTTCACCCAAACAACAAAAGAATTAAACAAACAAAGAAAGGCCTATAAATAGTTCCTACAAATCCTAAAAGGCAGCTGTAATTTTAGACAGAGTTTTATTCTCGAAAACCAAGTGATTAAAAGAAACCAATGGTTCCTAAAATACCTAAAAAAATGTTCAGTGTTCCTAAGAAATTACCTAATTACCTAAAAAAAAAATTACGCAAATAAAACTTAAGGTTTTCACATACCGATAAAAAAGATATTAAAAATAATGAAGCATCGTTCGTGCAAAAGCTAGCTTCAAAATTTAAACCAACAAAAATTATTAAATAACTAAAATATAGCGCCATGTGTTGTATCTTATTATGTGAAAAGTAAAGAATGGCATAGAAAAACAAATAAAGGAAATGAAAGCAAAAATGTTAAACTCGACAAACCACGAAAACTAAATAAGGCAAAACGGAAACGTAAATAAAGCGCACAAACAGAAAATAATGAAATCAAATACAAAAATAAAAATAGAAAAAGCAGTGCGAATACACATATGTATGTATGTAAGTGCCAAGTAAAATCTGCGACGAGTTGCAACAAAGAAAAGTGTGCCAGAAAAATAAATTGTTGCAAAACAAAACTTACCACTTCTGAGTGCAAAACTTTTTAACTTTCTACACCGAACTTTGTGCGCCACTCGAAAGTGAAAGTTTGACTTTTGTGAATTGCGTGAAACTTCCTGCATACTTGAAGGCGCACAAGCAAGCCAAACTTTAAAATGAATATGTCACCCTGCGAAATGAACTGTTGCGCCGTCGCAGCGTCGCCACCGCCAGCATCCGTTTTACGTTGTACTGATGCAGAGCGGCTTTTGTCTCTAGTTGCCTGCCGGCGCGATGCCACAACAAAGCAACAGTTGTCTGACGTGGAGCAGCTGGCGGCACAGAGACACAAACGACGTGGCAGCGCTGAACGTGAAAGTCCAACAACGCAACGAAAAAGCGGCTCATCCTCACCCCCATCGCCAGCATTAGCACCACATATGCTGCCAACACCGCCAGCTGCGACGCCGACGCCGACGCCAACGCCGCCATTCTTAATACCCGCTGATTTCTACAAAAGTTTACTAGCCAGCGCAGCGGCATTACAGCAACAGCAACATCAGCGTCAACAGAAGCTGTTGGAGCAGGAACAGGAGCGCAAGCCCTCTACCGCCATCGTTCAACGCTACCCGCAACATTCGCATTCACCCAACGCCACACAATTCCCACGAAATTTGTTCTTCTCTGCTGCTGCGGCGGCGGCGGCGGTCGCAGCCCAACGCAGCACAGCTGCTGCAGAGCTGCTTGCCGAGGCGACTGGCGGCGATTCGAATGGCAGCACAAGTGGCAGTAATCATGTTAGTTGATGAGAAGTATCTATTAGAAATATTGTTGATTAAAAGTGTTTGCTTAGAGCTTAATTTAAAAAAAAAGTAGATATATTTGGGGTATTCACATGAAACAACAACAATCATGCTATCTATGCACCATGCTAGACAGTATGCACCGGATCGTGAATACCCCTATTTTGTTATTCGCAGAGATATACATATGTGTGTAATAGTAGGAAGCCTCTAAGTATTGACAGAAATCTTAAAATGCAAAAAAAGTCACCGGCGGTAGATTAGTTTTAATTTGATTTCAATTGGATTCGTTTTTTGAATTATGTATAATTTTGAATGCAGAGACGGTGCGTAGATTAAACATAGCTTTCGGGCATCTTTTTGAATTACAACTGCTTTCGACGCATAAGAGTGATTTTTCAAGGCCGCGGCACGTCACACTTTCGGTCGGTTCCCCGTAACCGAAACGACCTAGATTCGTATTTGGCTAGGGACTGTCATTTCACCATCGTCCCCCATTTGAAGTTGAATATTTGAAAACACGTTAGTATGTGTGGCTGTAGCAAAACATGCAGAGTTGATTGCTGTTATTTGTTAACCATCTGTGGCGGTATATAATTTTCATTTTATTTTTGTTTTTGGATTTTCTTAATTACCAAAAAGCATCTGTGAAGTGCAGAACAGAAGCGCGTACAAGCGAATAAATATACCAACAATTGATTTATTAATATTAAACTAAAATCACTTTGATTCCTTTTCAAGTTTGAATTTGGTACTATTACCAATTTTTGATTGATTTTTATCTCAGTTAAAATATTGAGAAGTGCTCCCCCCATTTTCAAGTGCATTCTCAATGACTGCTTGCAGATTCCCATCTTCATTTCTAGAAAAATTTTAGTATTGGTTGCTGTTTTTTTTCTGAAAGGATTTTCCAGAGACGAAAAATAATAAAAATGTTTAATGTCATCGATAACTATTATTTTGAGACACATGGTAATAAGGTCAGCGAGAATCCTTTAAAGTTTTCGAAGGCTTCTATTTTGAGTCTTATTTAAAAAGAAAGTCCTTCAATAATAATTATGAGTGACAAAAGAAGGACGGGGCTTGTTCCGGACCATTTCGGGAAAAGATAAGGACTTCCTCGGTACCAATTTCGGACTTGTTCGGGATCATTTTGAGACTAGTGCAGAGCTAGTGCGACCACATTTCGGGGCTACTCTCGGGTCAGTTCGGAAGTATTTCAGTATTGGTTTCGAACTGGTCCCAAAATGGCCCCGAACTAGGCCCGAAGTTGTATTGAACAAGTCCCGTCCTTTAAGACTTCACAATTTTTTTCTCATCCATAATTATAAAATATATTTATCTCGGTAATATCGAATTATTATGAAAACTCTTTTACAATATGTCTCAAATAATTATAGATGCCTCGAAAATTTTGTAATATCTACTGTTAAAGAATTTGATAATGGTTTTTGTGGCTATTTAAAATCAGTGTTATTGAAATCCAAAATCTTCTGTGTCCATTACGCATCACTTCACTATTAAGTATAATTAAAAGCTAGGTAGAATTTTGAAGTTTCGAAATTCATATTTTTCCTTTCTCCCCTTCTCATCCACAGAAACCCAGCAATTATTCGTGGCCCTTAGCGGCCATCACACCACCAGCGGCAGCGAGTGCAACAACCGCGCAAGCGTTAGCAACAACACCTACCAACTCTGGCGGTAACACCAACAACAACAATCAGTCATCACAAAACCATCTTTCCTTGCAACCGGCCTCTGGTGCTGCCACACCAACGCCACCCGTCGGCGGGATAGATTTGCATGCAACGGTCGGTGATGCAGAGGCGCACAATTTTAACGGCACACTAAAGTCACCCGATCAACAACAAGCGTCGGCGTTACACTCACCTTCGTCCCAACACCAACAGCAACAGCAACAACACCAGCACCAACAGCAGCAACACCATCAACACCAATCCACAGTTGCGAGTCAGTCGCAACAACAACACTCACACACCCATCAGAGTTTGCATTCCTCTGCGTCGACGCCCAGTTCGCCCACAGCGGCTAGCGCAGCTGCAGCAGCAGCAACAGCGGCCGCAGCCGTAGCCGCCAGTATGCCTATCGGCGGTGTTCAGGGGCAAAATCCCACGCAGGGTTTGGTGCATTGGATGAGTGCCGTTATGGCCGAGCATATGACTGGACAAACGCATCACGACCCGACGGCAGTTGGCATGCATTACATGTGGAATGGCAATGTGGATGTAAGTACACGAAAAACAAAATTTGCCTCTTTTTTTTATGCGATGAATATTTGGGTATGCATTCTGTAGTTATTTATTTGATTTAAATTCGCTGGCCACTATGGTTCAGAAGCTGGGCTACACTCGATTTAATTGTACATACAATCAGAAATTTTTGTACTGTAATATTTTTACATCTATGGCCAAACAATTAGTGAAACTCATCGTAGGAAGCAATTGTTAAAATAATTTTTACAGCGAATTCATGTAAAGAGGAAAGTAATATTTAGTTGGAAAATCACAATACTTCGACTTTTATTAGAACGAATATATAGTAAATAAGATTATAGCCGCTTAACATATGTAACTAAGTATGTGCATTAATGGTAGATTTTAGGGGAGGGTATATCAAGCCGTATTTTTACTTTTCGTTTAAATCATTGATTGACATACCTAAATACTTTTGTATTTCAAGTACCAGTTTGGGTACTAAATACTCAAATACTTAGTATTTGGAGATGGCTAAATATTCAAGTAAAAGATGCTTAGGTATTTAGGAGTTGTTAAATATTCAGTTGAAAAAACTTTGAAATTTAGGAGTTTGCTAAATACCTGAGCAAAACCAAACTTAGATATTTAGGAGTTTGCTAAATACTCAAGTAAAAAATACATAGGTGTTCAGGAGCTGCTGGATACCAAAATTCAAAAAAATTAAAGTAATTAGCAGACACTGCATACGCTGGTCCATAGTACTCAGGTAATTTGGAGATGCAAAATACTTTCACTTAAGTGACATTCGTCCTTATCACACCTCACCTAAACTCAGCACACCCCGATTTGGGACCTATTTCGGGATTTTAAAGATTCACGGCTCTAAATCAGGATTTTAAAGAATATTTCGGATTTTCGGTACCATTACGTGATTTGCGAGCCTATTTCGGAAATTTCGAAATTTCGTTTTATTTACCGAAGTTGATATCGATAAATTTATCGACGGTTAACGATATTTTTATCGGTACATTAATTGATGTTGTTATCAATATAATAATCGGTATTGTTATCGACATATTAATTGATATTGTTATCAATATATTAATCGTCGAAAAATTCTTGAAATAGTTCCCAGAACCTTAAAAATTCGTATAACTTCGAAGTCTCAAAAATCCCGAAATAGTCCCTAGAATCCCGAAAATCCTTAAATATATAGCTTCTAACATCCCGAAGTGGTACCGAAAACGAGAAAGTTTCGAAAACTCCTAAATAGTCGCGGAAGACCTAAAAATCCTGAAGCAGTCCCAAAGATGCCGAAGTAGCCCCGAAAATACCGAAATTTTTTTTTAAATCTCGATATGGTCTCGAAAAATCTAGACATCCCAAATAGGTCTCGAAACTAGTCTCGAAAATTCCGAAATTCTTTCTTTTTTTATTGAGTAAATAGCATGTATTTCGTATTTAATCTAGACATAAGTTTTAAGTGGTTTTGTATTCAGTATTTAGTGAAGACAAAGTCTCCAAATACTTTTGTTCGCAGTATTTAGTGAAGTTAAAGCTTAAACAGACGGCAGCGTTGATCCGGATTAACTCGGACTTAATCCGGATCAACCGCAGTTAATTCCTGAGTTGTTCCGGACCAACGCTGCTGTCTGTTTACGCTTTAAAAGCATAAAGTCTCAAAATACCTACTTCACGGTGTTTCGTTGAGTGAAATTAAATAATACTTTCAGACTTAGGCCGAGGTCACGCAATGAGCGGCAAAGCGGCGAGCGGCTGAGCGACTTCAAATTAAAACATAGAAGTGAAGTGGCCACGCACTGAGCGGAATTTCTGGGCGGCTGAGCGGCATTTATGTATGGCGTCGCTCAGCCGCTCAGCCGTGTGAAAACAAGTAAGTACCAGCGTACTAGGTACTTACTAACATCCAAAATACTTAAGTAAATAAGTAAATACTTTTGCACTGACTACTTAAATCTTAGTAAATACGATTTTGCCCATCACTGGTTGAATTAATGCATAAATTGAAGATTTTAAATATATCTGTATTCGACAATTTTGTTTGTTAGCATTGCTGTTTGGACTAAAATGGGCCTCGCCAGACATAAAAATGCAGTTCAAGATGAATTAAAGTCCTCTTTCACCACTTGAATGAACTTCTGGAAAAATGCCAAACGAATCGCCAAGTCTTCTGCTGTCAATCTGCTTGTAGGTTGACTTGTATATGGTAATAAATTGAAATCATTATGCACAATTGTCCGCACTACCTGTCTGCTGACATCAAAGAGCAGATAAGATAAATAAGATAGTTTTGGTTTGTAGAAGCTAGTTAAAAAGCAAAATGATGTTACCTTGTAGCGCAACTGATAGGAAATGTAACATTTTGATTTGACCATTATTAGATTAGATAAGATTAGATTTAGAGGAGGGAGTAGGTCATCTAGTCACCACGGCCGAAACGATTCATTGTAACAAACATCTATTCGACTACAGGTTTTCTTTGATCTACCTATTGCTAAGAAACCTCGCGAGGTCGTTTTGCTGAATGCCATTTATGTCATGCGCTTCCAGCTACTTTGATCCTAGGAAGCGAAGTCTGGTCCTTCTGAGGGCCTCACAGTGGCACATAATGTGCTCTGTGGTTTCCTGTTCTTCTCTTGCACAACTTACGCTAATCAAGAGTTAACAACTGCTATGCTTTACAAGTGTTTCATTACCCTACACCGCCAAGTAAGTAAAACCTGTAACAATTCTTACTTCATGCCCACTGAGGTGAAGCAGTTCCTCGGTCCTCCTTGTTGAATACCCTGAAAGTTCGTTTCGTTCTTCATCCATATATAGTAGCTTCGCCTAAGGGAGTTCAATGGCAGACCAGTAAAGTGTCCATGGCCTATGAGTCCCTGTGCAGAATACCTGTGCCCGATGCTGGTGAAAAGGAACCATCAGATAGTGTACCATAAACTTCTTTTCAGATGCCTTGGTCAGTCCTGGAGCCGTCAATATACCAAATGTGCTGGGGAGGCAGGTCAAGAAGCACCTCGAGTGCCGCGGTTGGTGTTGCTCTCATCGCGCCAGTGACACCCACGCAGGCGAGTCGTTATAGCTTACGGAGTTTGGGCTGCTTGGACTTCACTTCTGCCTGCTTCCAGCAGACGGGCGGGCCAGTTTAGGTCTGATGCCCCAGTTTGCCCTATTAGTTTGCAGGCCCACATAGAGGCCCTGACCTTTTGAATAGTTTTGTCTAGGTGCGAATTCCATGAGAGCCTGTCATCAAGAAAAACTCTTAGATATTTGAAGTGTATTTTTTTCTACTTGAAGAAATGGTTCTATTGATTTGGCTCTTTTCATTTTCCTGTAGAAAATTACTATGCTAGTTTTCTTGGGGTTAACGTTCAACCCATTATTACTGCACCAATTTGGGACTATATTCAGTCAATGTCATTCGCATAGTCACGAATGTCCAAGTCGTTTTCACTAAGAAGGCAGATTACTACGATGAACCATGGCAGAGGGGATATCATTCACTCCTGCAAGAAACCTTTCGTGGCTAAGAGTTTGACTCTTTCCTCTTTCCTACCCCAGAGCCGATGTAATGGGTCTGGATTTAAGGACGTTTGCTATCCAGCGGCAACTGCGCCCTCCACGTCCAAGAAATATCCCACCGCCACCTCTTTGTCCTCCAAAGACTTTTAAATTTTCCTTGGGGGTGTCTGAAGAGCGTGGACAGTAGCTCTTCCTGGAAGATAGGCATATTGGTATCTATGTAAAGGGTCCCCGGTAAGGAAACTATCCCTGATATGCTTGTCTACGATTATGTTAATTGCTTTTAGTGGAAAGGACATAAAACTCATGGCTCGGTAGGACTTTGATTGGTCTGCTGGTTGTGATTTAGCGGACCGTCAGGAAAAAGATGTTCTGAAGAGTGGTATCAGAAAAGGTAGAAAGGGGGAAGTCCCTTTGCAGATGCGCTGGGAAAATGCTATTTGCTTCAGATCATTTAAAAGACACCGAGGCAAATATAGTCCTACAGAAAAACGAACGCCTTTCGATAACAGATGTGTTCGAGCTTATTGTGTTTAAAAATTAACGTAAAAAGTAGAAAAAAATTAATATTGTATTTCCCTGAAAATAATAAAAATTCACACTTTCTTAATTTAATATTTTTCACTTTGTATAAACTTTGTTGTTTACACACAAACAAAAAAGTGTAAAAGGAAAGAGAATACCAGAAACTTTGTCCTTTGGTCAGCGTTAACTAGCAAATTTTATTTTTCCACCACACTTGTGCGCCTTGAAATATACTTCGGCCCAGGCAAAGGTGTGGTTAAATGTGTGTGCGGCTGTGCTTTTGCTTCGTGATTTCCGCGCAAAAGTGCAAATTAAGTAAATTAAGTGCTGAACGCGTCAGCGTCTTCTAGTTACATACAAGAAAAAGTTCAGCGCCACATAACTGACGAAGGACAGGCGGCCAGTGCAGACAAGCAGAAATGAGTAGAGGGAAACAATTTTTTTTTTTAAATACATGGAAGAAAATTTAAATTTTTTTTGTAAAGCATAAGTTAATGAACTACTACTAAAGTGAAGACATGCAAAGCTGGCAGTTGAGTGGACTTAAGTAAGGAAAATCGAAAATTTGCGTGCACTTCCCAAAGGCGAATTCATTCAAGGCGGTGTTACGAGAGCAGCTGAATTTTTTCCCGGGTGGGTCTAAATGTCAAAATCATTTTTTTGTTGTACATTTTTTGTATTTTTCTAACTGTCAATGTGCGTAAATTTTGTTATAGTCATTTTTGTTTTTTTTTGCAGCAGAGGAATCACTTTTATACGAATGCGCTTTGGCACTTCCTTTTTGTCAGCATTCAGCCCTTTACTAGGCTGGTTATTGGCACGTTAATAGATATACTATTTGAATAAACTAAGCCTTCGTAGGCACACACCAAACTTCACAATTACTTACGTAGATACATATACATAAAAGCATTGATTCCTTCTACTTCTTCCTTTGGCTTAACTTTTTTGTTGCCTTTTTA